GCCATTGCCAGAAGAGAGGCAGAGCACAACAGTCTCTCTCTCATAAGCTCAGTTTATTCTTCCAAAGAGACCTTCTTTCACCCTGTAGCATCCCATATGTACCCCCCCTGAGCCAGCAGGTCACTCCAAGTGAACTCTCCCTCTCCAGGAGCCCTCTGGCTCTTCTGCTCCCCCAGCAAAGGCCAGTGCCTGTATGGACGGGGCAGCTGAGCCAGGTGAAAACAGGGATTCGTTCAGTGGTGTATGTGTGTGTCTGGGTAAGCCTCCAGGGGCACCAGCTCCCCTGTCCTGCTGACCACGGCTGCTCCAGTGCTCACACTGGCAAAAAGGAGGCAGCAGGGTGGCCTCTCTCAGACACAGCTCTGTTTTAGGTTACTTTAAGCTGGCAACAAAAACATACCCTATCTTCAGAGAAATGGTGCCTACACAGAGCCATATGGCTTAATAAATGACAGTCTGACCAGTGCACAGCCAGTACAGATTAACCCAAGAAGCCTTGCCATCTGCTTTCACTGTGGTCAAACAAGTGGCATCTTGTTTATTGCACCACTAAACATTCATTTTTAAACTGCCAATCAGCAAATCTATAGCTACAGTATATCTGGAAAGCTCCCTTTCATTTCTTTCCCAAAAGAAAGAGGTTAATGCAAAACATGGTAACATGTACTTTCACTGATAGGAGATTTCAGTGCACGCTGTTTACTCAGTTGTCTGTGTAGAGGCCCATTATGCATAAATCAGTGCAGAGAAATAAAGGATTGTTTTATTACACAACGAAATTTTCTAAAAATTATCTTAATTTCCTGTTCAAGAAATGGCACCATTGTTTACTTGAAACAGATATGCTAAATGTCCTGGAGGAATTTTGATTTTAGGAGACAGACTTGCCATCATTATGAGTAAGAGTGTTGCATTGTTCTTGACAATGGCAATTAAAACATATTTTGATTAGAAGGCAATTAGCAAAAATGGCAAAATGCTATTTCAAAGCTTGACAAATTTTCCAAATACCTCAAATGAGTCCAGTTCTTGGGATAATTTTCAGATTGCTCAAAAATATTGCTTAATATCAACACGAAATCAGCTATGAAAAATCTCTGTAAATTCCATGGTATTAGCTGCAATGCATTTCATATACAAATTAGCAGACCTGACAAGATGCTATGTCAACATCTTAAATCCTTCAAATTTCGTAACCTTGAGGTCAGATTAGCAAGACGTTAGTGAGCAGAAAGACTACTCTCAGTCCTTTTCCATATGAACTCACCTGCCAAATCTTCCCAATTGCTTTTTCTCAACCACAGTATCTGTAATGTTTCCACCTCCCAGGCCACTCTCACCTCTGTGGACATTCCTCATCTTCCTTCTTTTTCTTTACTTCCCTGAGGTGCATCTGTGCCACTCAACCTTTCTGGCTTTCCCTGTTCTTAGTACCATGCTCTTGCCTGCCCAGGGACACATAATGCCTCAGGTGCAAAATTAGGTTCTGCCGTTCCAAGGATAATTTATTTTCAAATTACATCTAATTCTGTGTGGACTGTTGAAAGGAAAAGTATAAGTCAATTTAAGAGGAGGCAGATAAAGCTGGAAAATGCTACAATTGTATTACAATTCCCAAGACACAACACTCAAGACCTTTGTCTTGAATGAGATCATGTTTCCATTTTTCAAGCCCGTGTGGAGCAGAACAGACCTGTTCTACCATAGCACATGACAGCACATTTCATACAGTAGCTGAAAATCTCTGCTGCATGCAGACCGTGCTGTTTGCAAGACGGGATGAGTGAGAGGACTGTCAGGCAGCTGGTTGTGGTTCCAGATTCTGCAGCTGAATCAGGGCTGTCTGGACAGCTCTAAACGGTACCAGCTGCTAATAGTTCCCCTTGGGATCGTTTTCTAATTGCAGATTACGAGACACAGCAGGGCATCTCTTTCTTCTCCAGGGGTAATTCTTACGCTGGGATGGAGGGGAGGAGATTTATGAACCAAATATGCTGAGAACTGTCAGCGTGGTAGAGACAACTAATCAGTTGGTGAATGTTTGAGAGATCCCTGATGTTTTAGTGCTCTTTCTTACAGGCAGTCTATCTTTCATCATACTAACATCAGCCTCTTAATTCACCAGTGCAGATATTATACACCAGAATGTCTTCATTGATGTTTATTCAGGTGATTTGTATCTGGGTTTATGCTAATCCAGAACTGTGCTGTTTTATCAAGTTCATGTGTCTGTGTCATCACTTGTATTGAACTCACTTTTCTGGTCCATCTCACTTGAGAAAGCCTTTATCTTGAGATTTGCTCCCAGAGAAATCTGATTGTCAGGTCCTTAATGTTACATCAGTGTAAAGAACATGCAGGTGTAGTCTGTATTCCTATGATATGATTTCAGATGAGAGTTTCAATAGCAATGGTGATTCTGAAAAACTTAATCTTTGTTAGTGACGTCTTTTTGAATTTCTAGCTAAAAATATTTTGACACTTCACTTATAATGTGATGCACCTATTTTTTCTTACTGATCTTTGCAAAGTGCAGGAATCCTGCATGAAAGATGACAAAACACTGATTAAGATTTCAAATTCCAAGGCCTCCTCTGTGAATGGCTCTCCAAATTTCCCAGAAGATCCCTTGCTGCCGCTGCCTATCTCACCTGCGCCGGTGAAGCGTCAGTCTGGGGCGCTGCCGAGCTCCGTGCGAGAGGAGCTGCCGGTACCTGTTGCTTGTGGCAGAATTTCTGTGCCTGTCACTAGAGGGCCACTGCCGTGAGCCCCGCCAGCTCCCTGCGACACCGCGGGTGCCAAGCTCGCATAAAGACTTGCGGGATTTTCTCCGCAAATCCCACGCTCAGGCGCTACCCTAAATAATTACCTGTTGGATGCTTCTGAATGGACGGTCCGGAATGACGCTGAGAGGAGGATAATGCTTCTTACAGCACGAGGAGGTGGCTTCTCTGTGTGTGTCACTTCCTCACAGGGGTCACTGCCCGCTCTGAGAACAGCTGCGGTCATTTTCGGACACGCAGTCCCCGATGCCGAGCTGCTGATGCTAACGGGACATTTACTGCCGGCTCAGCTCCATGCGGGATTTGATCTTTGGGACTGACTTCTACCCACAACTGCGTTTAGAATATTACTAGCCCAGGCTGGCTTGAACTGACGTTGTGAAAAGTGATTCAAGTTTATCTTTGCATTTTGTGCAGGCTGGGGAAAAAAAAAAAAAAAAAAAAGTTTTTTGATTCTGTCACATGTAACTCAAATATTGCCAAAGAGGCTGGCTTGTCTTAACTTGCAAGCACCTGGCACAGAAACAATCTATCATTTTGAACACTCCTATATGCAGTAATGCTCTCATTTAACCATGACTGTGCTGGCTACATTGGAGGGTGGTGTAATTTCCAAATGAGATAACACTGCATGATTACCCAACATCAAAGGTGACTTCAGTTATTTCAGTGAGGTTAAGTTTTTACACCCCTTGTGATTTTTACTGTGTTGCCAACACCCTACTCTGTCTTGAAGTCAGAGTTCTCTGATTTCATGTGATTATCTTGGGAAGGTTTCCAGGTATGTTTATGTGGGATTACCACCTGAGTGTATTTTCTTCCCTGCTGACTCAAGTGGTGTGTCCAGACCATCATTCAAGGAGCCTATAAATATGTATATTCTAGACAAATAAATTCAAATATGAAGCTCACATACTCAACTTCTTCCTCCTGCTTCTCTGGAGACGTGTTTGCAGTGTAACCCCATAGTTTCTTTCATTTCACATAGTAGGTAACTATAACCAAAATCAGCTATTAACTTTATTTTTATTACAGAATGTAAAAGACATCCATATTTAAGTCTTGCAAGAATTTTGTTTTGTGAAAAAGAGAGAGAAGGTCTTGTCAAGTTATAAGAGTTAAAATGAGGTGGAGTCAGTGTATGGGAGAAAGGCTCTGGGTCTGTCTCCTCCCTCAGAATACTATACTGGAAAGAACCCAATCCAACAGAAATATAATATTATGCATCTCTTTTAATCAAGTAGCCTCATAATTTGCATACATCCCTTGTTGTATGTTATATATGATTCAGAAGTCCTTCCCATGATCTAAGAGGGGTCTGGATGTGGACATTTTGCATTTTTAGGTATATGTGCCTCTGTTAGATTGTTATACTACAGATAGTTGCATTAAAATATAGTTTCAACCTTTTTTTCTTAAAACTTCCTGGCAAAAGAAAAAAGGTACTTTTAAATTTAACAGCAACTTTTTGTTTGACAAGAACTCTTGTTCAATACAGTATCTTCTATTTGGAATACAGGACTTGTTATTTGAGATTGGCTCCTAGGTTAATTTCCTTTTCTGACATTAACCAGCATAGTAAATTTCAGAAGAAAGCAGATGAAATCCCACTGGCAGTTATAACTTTTTTCTCAGTAAAATTATACAGAATTTACAAGCAGCTGCATTCTAATGCTCAGTTATATCCACATTCATATTTTAAAATAAATGCAGACACTATCCTAATTTTTGTTGCTGGAAGCCAGCTTAACTTTCTTTCACTTAGCTCTTTTAAATCTTCAAGACAACAAAAGGTGATGAAAAAGCCTTTGTGGTGAATCCCAAGACCAAGATACACCCAAGGCAATGTGGTTAGTGCAGAACCAAGAAAAGCACTTAATTCTGTAGATAGAATCCAGTCCTTTTAGTAAGCAAACACAAGCCAATTAAAACCTCATCTCTAAACAAAAAAGCCAAAGCAAAAATAGCACTAGGTGGAGATTTAGTTGGATTTGCGGATAAATTCTCTCACGGCTCGGGCATCAGGCTTTGTCTCCGGGCCCCCCGGGTGCTGCCGTCCTCATCACACGCCACGACCGCACAGGTGCCGAGGAAAGCTTGGTTTTTATTGCAAAACCCCTCTTATGAATTAAAACAACACCAAAAGTCAAAACGTGAGCGCTCGCACCCCTCCCCACTTCGTTGTTCGGGGTTTTTTAATCCCTACAGACACGGCTCACTCCCTCCGGTAAGAAAGACGAGGAAAACCCAGCAGGGGCCGAGGAGCAGCGGAGCCGTGCCCGCGCAGGTGGGACCCTCCTGCGGGGCGGGAAGGAGGGAGGGGACGAGGGACGAGGGCGGGCTGTCCGCCCGGGCTCGGGCCGGGGCCGCGGCCCCTGGGCGGGCCGGGGGCGCTGAGTGGATGGAGGCCGCGTCACTCAGGCCGGGCGCGGCCCGCGGGGGATGGCGGCCGCGGTACGGCGGCAGCACCTGCTCCGGCATGGCACGGCAGGGCGGGAGAGACGGGGACAGAGGGACAGGAGGAGGGAGGGACGGAGGGAGGGCGAGCGGGCTCTCCGCGGGCTGGCCGCTGCCCCGGCGCCGCCACCGCACGGCGAGCAGCCCGCGGAGGGAGCTTCATGTGTTTGTTCCCAGGACGCGGTGGGCATCCCCATCCTCATCCTCTGCCTGGCTTCTGCGGCGGCCGCGCTGGACTTTAAGTACCACCACGCCGAGGAGCTGGAGCGGTACCTGCGCGGGGTGCACGCCGCGTACCCCTCCCTCAGCCACTTGCACAGCATCGGCCGCTCCGTGGAAGGTGAGCGCGCTGGACGAGGGGAGGGAAGGCTTTTTGTTTCATGAAATCGGGCTAGGTGTGGGTAAAGGTGGCGTTTCGTGGGCGCTTGCTGGCGGCGGGGCTGCTCTAACAAACCTCTGTGAAGTTTCGTCTTCCTCTTGCTTAAGCGTCAATAACACACTGTGGCTGAAGCATCATACGTGTCATCAGGGTAAAAGCTCTTCCAACTCTTGTTTCTGAGAGTTGGAAACGTCCTGAGTGGCAATTTCAGAAACAGGGCTGTCTTTATGGAGCGTAGAATATGTGGGACCCCTTTGCCAAGTGCCCGTTCTGGGTGGGACTATAATTAAAGAAGTATGTTTCCTAACTTGTGGCTGTGTTAAAAATACCTTCTGATACAAGGTCCTGTGCTGTAGATGAAGAATAGGATTTCAGTCTCAAATGTTACAGGAAAATGTACTGAAATCAGTAATCACCTTTCTGACTTTATATTGATATTTTAATTTATCTCTCTATGATTGCTACTTTCTTACCATAAATTTGGGGAGAAGCGGCTAATTTTTCAAAAGAGATTTAAAAGATTAGTGTTTATTTGCATATGGACTTTAATGCACATCTGTTTAATTCTAAGAAAACAAACAAATTAAAAAAACCCCAAACTGCTTTATTAGATTTCAGTTCAATAAACTAAATCACTCTGAGAAGAGCTATAAAACTAGATAGAAAAATCATTCTTTAGAAACATCATCTGTTCCTCTAATCCCATTTTGTACCACTGGAAGGAGACATTTGTAGCATCTATTATCAAATCCACGCTTGTGGTTAAAAAAATAAAAATCCATATTCTTCTTGATAGATGATCATGAACACATTTTCATGCCTTCTCACTTGTTTTACCATGTATCTCAAAGTAGACAAGGAATCTTAAAGTTATTTCAGCTATGTTGGTTTTGGTTTCATCAAAGACAGAATTAGATTGGATTATGTTATTCATCCATGCAAGAAGTTAGTTCCTGTAAGTACAGTTCCCTCCAGTGCAAACTAGCAATTATCCACATCCTTATTTTCATACCTTTAGAGAACTTAGCTAACATTTTGATGATAGGAATAGATCATGACTTTTCTGCCAGAAACTCAGCTAGCTTATCTTTGTGCGGGTAGGCAAAAACCTTTCATCCAGCCTGAGAGATTGGAACTTTGGCTTTTACATATCTAGATACCTGAAAGCTGATAACATGAGATGTTCAACTTGTCTGAGTTCCATCAGCATGAAAACTGGAAAATCATCATCTCTTGGTTGTGATTGAGCAATGCACTGAAACATCATTCAGATTTTGATATATTGCTTTCTGCTTTGCCAAACTCTGAGAAGAGAATTGTGTGGGCTCTCCTCGTTACTATTCTCAGTGCCATGTAAAGCAGAATGGCAGTGAAAAATGTGTAGTGCTCCTCTATTCTTTCATTTTTATCTCAGTGTTAAGAGATTTCTACCTTTGTGGAGAAATGAGCCTTCAGAGTCACCTGGAATATGGCTGGGGACGATACTGAATTAGGGTCTAATTTGGGTGGTTTTTTTCCTCATACTAAAAGAAAGTTTTATGACAACAGTGGTTATAGAATTCTGGTGAAAATGAAGTTTCAATTTTGGTCCAGGGGTTGAAGTTCTGTTCCTCTATTCTCAGTTAAGCTGCTGCAAGCAAGACTGTCTTTGCATGCACATGGCTGTATGGGTTTACTAGTGTTGTCCTCCTGCCAAGTAGCTAAACCATGGTAGCAAAATCTGCTTCTTGATAATGAGAAACAGAAATTAATTTAAGTACTCTAAAACTGAGACCAATGTGATGTAGTAGGTTGATAATCCTGATATGAAAATTCTTTATGATGAATACAATATCCCATGGATCTAAGTAACATCTATAAAATCGACAGACATTATTTTACTATTATCATGAATGGCTATTGTTCCCATGTTATTTGTTAATCTGTGTTTTACTCCAATTTTATCTCATAATCTAGTATTTTATACTGCTATCTAGACTTGGATTATGAAGAATGTGAAGTAAAAACTTGACTTTTGGTTGGTGTATGTAGATTCAGAGCTCTGCAAGGGTATAAAAATCCAACTCTTAGAAGTTGTGGAGGGTGGTAGGGACCTGTGTATTACCACTTCAGAAAGTGATCATATGTAGTTCTTTAAGAGAAGTATTTAAACACTATTCATGTCAGAAGCCTCACCTGCTCCAGGCAGATCATAAGGTAATGTAGGTCTGGAGGCTATCTAGTCTGAGCTCCTGTTCAAAGCCAGGCTCACTTGAAAGTTAATTATGATGCTTAGGGCCCTCTCCACTGTATTTCTGAATATCTGCAAGGGTGGAAGTTCTACAGATTCTCAAGAGCCACCTTGCAGCCCTTTGGCTGCACAGCTGCAGCCCAGCCAGTTTGCAGTCTGTACCTGCATGGGGTTATTTTCTTGTTGATAATCCATACATGGGGCCTTTTTGTTCCAGGTGCAGGAACAAAAGAACCCCATGTATGGTTTTGCATTTATCTTGGTCAAATTCCATGAGTTTGCTCTCAGGAAATTCCTTCAGCTTACTAGGGGCCCTCTGAATGGCAGCCCTGGCCCTGATGAAGATATTAAACAGCATCAGCCCCAGAACTGACCCTTGAGGAATGCTGCTAATAATTTGCTGTCCCTTGAACCACCAGTTGTTCAGTCCAGTCAGCTTCTGACCTTACTGTAGTGTATTCCTCTGATCCATATGTTCCCAGCTTGTTTGCAAAGACACCCTGAGGGTGACTAGACACTGGAACAGGCTGCTCTGGGAGCATCCTTGGAGATATTCAACAGCTGGCTGAACACAGTCCTGGGCAGCTGGCTGTAGGTGGCCCTGCTTAAGGAGAGGAGTTGGACCAGATGACCTCCAGAGGTCCCACGCAATTCCTGAATCTGTGATTCTCTTGAAAGCCTTGCTAAGGTCAAGACTAAAGAAATAGGGTGCTTTGCTCCTTCTCACTAAGTCAACCATTTCTGCATAAAACCCAAAAAGTCAAGTGTGATTTGTTATGGATAAATCTGAGGTGAGGTTTACATAGTGTGTTTATTTGATGCATGTAGACTGTAATAGCAGTGTGCATAGCAGAATCTGTACCAAGATTCTCAATGGAAAACAAATGGAAAGACTCCCAATTTATTTTGTGGTGGTTTACATCACCATACAGAATTTCCCCCTGCTAGATTACTAGGAGCACCTCTGCCAAATTACTGAAAACAATGTGTTCTAGACTGGCAAAGGCTTGTTCGGTCTCCAGATCTGATTTGGAAGCTATGATATTTAATTATGTATCTCATCTGCTAAGCTATTGTCCTTAAATAAAGGAGAAAGGAGCTTAAAAGATATAGCACGTTGGCTGACAAAACTGAGTGTTAGCTTTTGATCTAATTTAGTAGGTATCCTCACATCCCTCAAGATTTGTAGGTAGTTTGGTCTGTGAGAAACTGATACAGTCTTAGCAGCAGGTAGGCAGAGATGTGTGATGGCCCAGAAAATACCTTAATTCTTTTATATTGTTTCAGGTGTGTTGTTGAATAAAGTTATAAAAGCTTTTTGTCAGGAGTTCAATTTTCTGATATATCCAATATCCAGCCTCAGAGCAGTGTGTGCACTCTGTAATAATAGAGGAATCTGCAGAGCTGCATCAGTCTGGGATGGCAGAATGGGACTTGGTGTAATCTTATTAACCCATCATGCCTAATGCCACCCCAGTGAGAAACAGACTGAGTCTTCAGCAAGCAAATCTTAGAGTGCATTACCAAAAGGGAAATAGTCAATGTATGTGTCTGATCTGTGGCTTTTTATTGTTCAGGATACAGTGCTGTTGCTATTCTTTGAAAAGAAAATGAGGATGGTGGGAAGCCAACTTAAGGATTCTAACAGAACTGATGACCTCCTTAGGAGGACAAAACCAGCCAGGTATTGGAAGAGTGGAGTAAATTTTGTAGTAGATCCACACTCTAAAAAGGTCTTTTCAGATATACTCTGGATTGAGATAAAGTGATAGCATGCTAATTACAGCTTGGTTTACATCTAGGTTTTCTGGAGGCCAGTCTGCATTTTTAGAATTCCAGTCAACTTTGGGACAGTTGTAAACATCCTCAGGCCAGATTCTGCTCACTGAGGGAAAGGTTATGTATGGTTAAAGTACCCCTGTCTTTACCTAGTGAAGTTTCAAAGTTGACTTTATATATTAATATCCCTTTGGCAGATTTTATCTGGAGAGACTGGAGAGACAAAAACTAAAACAAACAGACCAGATTTTGTTCTTGTTCCACTAGAAATACCTTGCAAAAGAGCTGTCCTGAAAGCTTCTTTGGTTGAGAACTGTGTGGCTTAGTCATCCAATTCTGATGCTTAGTAAACACCAACATCCAGTTGCTCTCTCTCTCTGTTGCCCTTGGACAGACACATTCTGTCCCTTAATCTTAAACACTTTGCTGACTTTGGGGCAAATGTTTTGGTTTTGTTTTTAAGTAGTGAGTCTTGCTTATTAGCATTTTGCTACCCCTGCTCTGTAAACAGGAGAGGCTGAGATGTGCAGGGGGTGTGTGTATGGTTGCTGTGTTTTATAGTTTGTGCAGGACTTGCCCATGGCTGTGACTTGCATGGATTGTGCTATGGACCTCAGGGAAGGTGTGCTCAGCAGGGTTCCCAGCAGGCCAGGTTTGTCAGTGACAAGGTGCCTGTTGGAGCACTTTGTCTCCTTCCTGCCTGTATTTGTGTGTTTTTCTCCTTGGAAAACAGGAGGGAATGAGCATGCCCAGGTTTCCATCTGATAAGCAGCTGTGATTCAGCAAAAGGGCGTGCTAGGGGTTGGGACTCGGTAGTGCTGTATGCAAGATGTGCCTGATAACACAGTCAGTAGAAACCTAGGCACTTTACCTGTCCATCATTCCTCACCAGCACCAGTGGAATGTGTGCCCAAGGTGTGCCAGAGGCCAACTGAGACCTCCTGACTCCTCT